GGAAGCTGCGTCCAGAATGTTGTTTACTGCATCAAATACATGGTCAAGGTAAATCACCACTCACAGCTAACGGCTAACAGCTAACAGCTAACAGCACGAGTGGTTCTGTAACGGCTAACAGCTAACGGCTAACAGCACGAGTGGTTCTGCACAGAATCAGTTCCAGTCCCCAGTGAGAACAGATGAAATCTGGAAAAAGAAAAAAAACTTGGAAATTTTCTAACCCAAAAAAAATGACCAAAATGGAAAAATATGAATCTGTTCCTGATCAGAAGTGTTTTGGTCAGAACACGACCTCAGAGTTGATTTGTTTCTCTAATCCTGTGACCACAAGGAAAACATGATGGTGAAGTTGGACCCACAAACCAAACCTTCTCCAATCGTTTTGTCCTAATTGTGTCAACATGATGGCACCGCCGAGCAAACAGACTAAATGCTAACCAGGGCTAGTTACAAACAGACTAGTGCTAACCAGGGCTGGTTACAAACCGACTAATGCTAACCAGGGCTAGTTACAAACAGACTAGTGCTAACCAGGGCTGGTTACAAACCGACTAATGCTAACCAGGGCTGGTTACAAACAGACTGATGCTAACCAGGGCTGGTTACAAACAGACTGATGCTAACCAGGGCTAGTTACAAACAGACTAGTGCTAACCAGGGCTGGTTACAAACCGACTAATGCTAACCAGGGCTGGTTAAAAAGGAACACATTTTGTTTGGCGTTCCTGTTCACCATCCACCAGTGGAACTGGCGTCGCTCCCTGGCTCCGCCCTGGACGATCTCCAGTCCATCATCAGCCCGTATGTAGAGTGAAGGGTCCCTGCTGCACCTAGCACGGCGCAGCCCAGCATCCTCCAGTGATGTGGGGGGGAGGGGGGGGGGGTGGGGAGGGTCTTGTTTTTGTTCTTCTTTCCAGTATCGTCGTATCGTCGTATCGCTGCCCTCCGTATCGTGATACGTATCGACAGATTCCTGCCAACACACACACAGCCCTAAAAATGAAGGTTTTTATTTTTTCTCAGTTCTGGAGTTTTTTCGTGGTCCAGTGTTTTTATAGATAAATAGACAGAACTTTATCAGGACTTTTCTGTGCAGGTCGACGGTCGACGGTCCATGAGGAGACCATGTGGGCAGGAAGGATAAACAAACAGACTGAAGGAGTGAGCAGTAATGACAGAGTGAAGTCAGACAGACCTGTGTGTGTGTGTGTGTGTGTGTGTGTGTGTGTGTGTGTCGCAGCTCCTGGTACACTATCAGACTGGTTACTGGGAGGACACAGGTTTTTTTTTAGTCTTAAATCCAGGACACAGTTTTTCCACCAGATTCTTCTCTTCTTCATTTACTTTAAAGTCCAGATGTCGTCTGCATATATTTACCTGCCTCACACACACACACACACACACACACACATCTGGAGAGCCACCGTCAGTTTGCTGTCACTCATCCTCTGCCGTCAGCTGCAGCGTGTGTTTAGTTTGTGTGTCCTTTTGTCGTGTGTGTGTGTGTGTGTGTGTGTGTGTGTGTGTTCAGTGTCTGTAGACCTTGAGTGTGACCTAAGGTCTGTGTTTGTTTATGGCCCGTGTCGTATGTGTGTCAGGCCGCGTGCTGTAATCTGTATTGATGGTTGTCGTTTGTCTGTGTGTGTGTGTGTGTGTGTGTGTGTGTGTCAGGCCACTGATTTGTTTATTCAGATCAGACTCTTTATCACAGCAGCCAGAAGAGATGGTGGAGCTGGTGTTCACCAAGATTCAACCGCCTTCTTTCCAAGATTCAACCGCCTCCTGGTCTCTCTCTCTGTGTGTCTCTCTCTCTCTCTCTGTGTGTCTCTCTGTCTCTCTCTCTGCGGTCCACGTTTCCTTGTGCTGATGGCAGAGCCGAGGCGTGGAGCGGATGATTGGCTGTTCAGCCCAGTGCACATTGACAAAGCGGTCGTAGAGGAAGCTTCACGTTCCGTCAGCCAGACTCTGTCACCGTGCAGCGGCTGAAACTCACTGTGCGGCGGGAAAATCCTCAGTGAGTCGGAATCAAACCCTGGTGATGAAGTGACCGTGGGAAACGGCGCCCGCCAGACTCAGGGTTCAAGGGTCACAGCTTCTGTGTCTGTGTTTACTTCAGGGCCGTCAGGTTAACGTGGTAATAATCAGTTATTGTTGCTGATGATGTGAAATCAGAGAGAGAGTGACCCAACCTCATCTGGTTTCTCTGGCTGCTGTGGATGGGTGGAGGGGGGGGGATGAGGGGGGGCGTCGGTGCAGCTTTGAATATTTCACACTCACAGATCGTGCGTCACATGATAATTGGTTGTAATTGGTCAGATTTTGTGACTGGAAACAGCAGCTGGAATTTACAGAACGTGTCAATGAGTTTGTTGTACAGGAGAAGCAGTGAATGTGTGTTTGTATGAGGGGGGGGGAGGGGGGGGGGGGGGGTGTTACTGTTACTGCTGCTGCTGCTGGAGGTGATGGTGGCTGCCTGCATGATTGAATTACAGAACAGATGAGAGAGAGGGAGAGGTGAGAGGAGGCAGAGGAAGATGAAGGTGATGAGAGGAACAGTGGTGTTTGTGTTCTAGTCTGTTCTAGTCTGTTCTAGTCTGTTCTAGTCTGTTCTAGTCTATACTATAGTCACAACGATGTATTGTTTTATTTGA